GGTCCATTTAGAACCAATAGAACACCTGTATTTAGTTAAAAGTAGTCCAAACACATTAGATAATTTTGTTTAAATCCAAGTAAAGCTTAAACAAAATGTAGTGGGGAAGAAACTCAATTCAGCAGCTATTTGTAGGCCCCTCATAAGTAGGGAGGTCTGGGGCTTAGTGGTGAGGAGCTGTGCTGTTAACCTAAAGGTGTGTGGCTGAAATCCACGAGTTGCTCTGTGGAGAAAGATGAACGATCTCCTCCCATGAGATTCTGCTTTGGAAAACTTGCTTGAGGGTCAGCTGAGTCAGTCTACCTTCATGCTACACAACAACTACAATAGGTACTCCATCCCCTCCTAGGTCCTGCAGGAGTGTTTGTAAAGAGGTTTAGCTCACAGACCACACAGAACTTACTGTGAAGGCAAAAGGCTATAATTCAGGTCACTATCTGAATACAGTCACTCAATCAGGACAGCTTCCAAAATATGCTTGCAGGCACCTCAACCTCGAGCCTTGTGACTTTGGGCCTGTTATGAAGTTCTCAGTCCTGCCAGTATTGGCTGTCACCTCCAGCCCCCTGTCCCCCAGTTGTCCAACAGACTTGGGCAAAGGCTTTTAGCTTAGCTCTGGTTTTGTCTGTGGGGGGTAGCAGTCCCACGGTAGCTCCATCTCATGCTGTTCTCTGGTTCAGCCATGGCTGCTGCTGCTGTAAGGGGAGCTGGCACAGAATGTCTGGTGCTGAAGGGTAGTACCCGGAATGCCAACTAATCTTTGCTGCTGATGAGAGAGTCTCATTGTGGCTGAAATTGCTCAATTTAATGGAGAAACCAACCAATCTCCTTGCAATTTGGTGAGACTAGCCAGTTCTCTGGGGGATAGGCTAACATGCCCTATTTCCACCCATACACATGGCTAGGAAAGCCATTTTGAATGATAAACTCCACATATCTACAATAAGTGAGTCAGACCTCGCCAGTACTTACTAGGTCCAGAACACATGGTGAGGAGCCCAGCAGGGAGGATCTGGGGCTGTTTTCTGGAAGCTTTTGCCAGTTAAGGTTTTAACCAGGCAAGTTGGTCAGAGTCAGAGTAGGCGTCTTCAGAGATATAAGACTGAACTCACTGCAAGATGTGCTCACTGAACTGCTTCTCCTAGAAATCTGCATGTTTTCAGACGGAAAAGGTTAATGGCATGTTAATAAACAGATACATAAGATAAAGTCATATAAACACAGTAGAAGTTAATCTATGAATAAAAAACCAAAACCAAGAAGGATTTGGGTGCTAAATAATTACCACTTCCATTTTCTGTCTGAAAAGGACTGTCTACCCACATCCACCCAAACCTACTCATCTTGTCACCTCCTTGGGGTATTCCTTATTTCTTGAGAAATCGTCTTATTGTCAGGACATACTCCTCTGTTAAGGCACATGCAATAAGACCTTCCAAGGCAAAGCCCTCAATAAATACCTCTAATCTGAAGACATGGTGTGAGTCCCCATGGCTCCCTTCCTACCTCAACCAAGTTCCAACTAAGGAATCAAACACCTCCCAAGACCAAGTGCACTGTCACTGAGCCTGACTCCTGGTGACTGTCCACTGGGATTCCGAGGAAGTAGGTTTCTATGTGAGGATACAGCTTATCTTTCTCCCACAGAGCAGCTGGTAGATTTGGACCAACAATCTTTTGGTTTAACATATTATGCCCAACACATGACACATTTTGCCATCAGGGTTCCTTCCAACTAAGGAGAAAGATTCCAAAGATGGGAATCTAGCTGGGAGTAGGTCTGTGAGCTGATGAAGTTCAAATAGTAACATTGCTGTCTTTACTTGGGAGCAACCTTGCTGATTTCCAGCATCAGAAAGTGAATAGGGAGCACAGTGGAGGGTGTTAGGGATTGAATTGTGTTCCCTAAAAAGCTGTGTTGATATTTGAATACCCCTTATCTGTCTAGATCTCAGATGCATCTAAGGGATTGAAAAGACCATGGCCTTAATCAGGTACACCTTAGTCTTTAATCTGGCATCATTGCTCCTCAGTAATTTGGATATTGAATAAGGATAATGAATAAGGACAACAGGAGAAGAATTGATACCTTTGAGCTGTGTTGTTTGAGGAGAGTACTGAATATTCCATGGACTGGCAAAAGATAACCACAAACAGATAAGTCTTAGAGGAAGTGCAGCCAGAGTGTTCTTAAAGGCAAGGATGGTGAAGTGTCATTTCACACACTTTGGACATGTTGTTAGGACAGGCTATTCTATATAGAAAGGGACATCATGTTTGGAAAGGTCAGCAAAAGAGAGGAAGGCCCTCAACCAGATGGATTGACATGGTGACTGAAGCAATGGGCTCAAGTATGTCAGATATTGTGAGGTTGGTAGAGGATAGGACAAGGTTCAGACCTGTTAGTTATAGAGTCTCTATGAGTCCTGGTAGACTCCTCGTCACCTAACAACAATATCTGTCAGCATGACCTTTTTTTAGAGTAGGGTCTTTGAAAGCTGAGGTAATATAAAGTTGTGTTGAGGGCGATGACTCCAGATCTAATGAGAATGTTGTCCTCATAAAAGAGAAGAAGGGGTAGAGACACACAGGGAGGAGATTGCTATGGAAAGAGGCATCTGGGTGCTAACAAACACCTGAGTTACCAGCAGCCAGAGGACAGGAAGGCTCTGCCTCAGGGCTGACGGATTCTGGATCTGCTGATGCACTAGTTGGGGACTGGTAGTCTTTCAACTGTGAGACAAGCAATCTCTGACGTATAGGTCACTCAGTTTGTGGCATTTTGTTATCGTTGTCTTAGGAAACAAAGCACAGTGAGCTTCACTTTTAGGGGGGAAATGAGATTTTTTATGCAATGGATACAGCAGGAGTTGAGTGAACTGGCTTGTCACTAACTTGCTCCAGAACCCAACAGAGGTCATTTTCGGAGGCTCAGTGTCCTTACTAACCCAGTGGGGTTGGGTGAAGCAACTTTTAAGTCCCTTCTCAAAGTCTATAGTTAGTCCTGGAAGACAACAATGGGGCAAGGGGGGAATCAAGACATTAAAGCTTTTTGTTATATGTAGCTGGGTTCCAACTCGCTTTGAAACAATTGAACCAACCACTTCTTGTTGCTCTATACTGTTGAATCAGAACCAGCTGGCTCTCCTGCAGGTCTTCAGAGGCAGTAAATCATACGGAGGCAATTGCCAATCCTTCTCCCATGGAGCAGCTGATGGCAATAACATAAACCTTTCTCCTCAAAGCTGCTGGTGGATTCAGACTGCAGAGTTTTTAGTTAGCAGCACACTTCCTTACCAATAAGCCACCAGAGCTCCCCAAAACAACCCCTGCACACAGCAAACTCGTCCCATCCCATCACTTGCTGCAATGCAGTTTTTAAATAATTAAAAAGGCTTTGAGTCTTGTCCTGCACTAAACAGTAAACAGCACTCCCTGCTCTGTTCTGTTTTACCCAAGAATTCAATTTAAAAACACACTTAGGAATGGATCTCGTCCACAACTCAGGGACTGTGTATTTTGAATGAAGCCCCTTGGCCCTCCCTTGGTGTGTGTTGGGAAATCCCGTGAAGAAGTAGATGGAAACCCCTGGGCCGAGCAGATTGCCTCATGGCCACCCACTGCTGCCCACTGGTGTCAACATGGGTCAGATGTGATCTGAAGGTCATTTCTGAGTCCAGACCTGGACAGCTTTTGGTTCTGTGGTGAACTAGGTTGTGAGAATGGCTTGACAGTTACTATGGAGAAAAGAAATCACTTTCTCTCCTACTCCTCTAGAATTTTAATAACGGTAACAATGAATGCATAAATTTCTGGTTTTCTTTATAGCACTTCAACCCCAAGTATGATTAAGGCAAGGACTTGAGGAGAAAAGCAGAAAGTTTAACTGGGAAGGCAGAAAGATGGCTGATACTGGACAGAAGATCTAGGCAACATGCACCAGAGTTATAGAATAGCCCGACTCAAGCGACGGGTGGCCTGAGAGAGGGGAGCCAATACACAGATGCGGCCACATCTGCTTTGAAATGTCAAGGTCAGGATCTACATCTTAACTCTTCTACTTAGCAATGCAGGAAATGAATGTAACCTCCTTGAGATTCTTTGTTCTCTCTTTTTGTGTGTGTGTGTGTGTGTACCGTCAAATTGGATCTGACTGGTACAGGAGGCAATTGTTCCTCCTTCTTCAGCAGAGCATCTGGTGGATTTGAACCGCGCACCTCTGGGATTGCAGTGCAGTTTCCTGCCACTAGGCCACCAGAGCTCACCTCTTTGTTCTCATTTGCAAATGCACTCTAGTGCCTGGACCTCACATTTGGTACATACTATTGTTGTTGTGTACCATTGGGTCAGAATCAACCTGCTGACCCTCCAGCAAGTTTTCAGAAACAGTTAATCCCACAAGAGGAGACTGCTCATCCTTCTCCCTCAGGGCAGCTGGCAGATTCGAACTGTGTACATTAAGGATTGCAGGTTCTTACCACTAGGCCACCAGAGCTCCCTCTAACTGGGCTCTATTTCTATTCTTCAAATACGGGACTTCATATCCAGGTGCCATGTTTATACCGGTAAACTCTTCCCTCGCCTCCCAGTTCTAGAATTGTACTTTAAAGCATGGAGTTTCAGTGCAATTTGTATTTCAGTGGTCATTCTGGAACATACTGCTTCCTTTCTACTGTTTCTGTCTCTAAACCAGCTGCTGTATCTCTTTGGTACTGGAAGGTACGACTTTCCTAGTGAGCACAAAGCTAGCACCATAATCAAGTAAAAGACAATAAACCTCAAACTCAAGTTATCTTCGTGGGTTGAAATCCTCCAGATGGTATTGGAAATCAACAGCTTCATTTATTTTAAAGGCTCACTCTCCAGGGAGGCACACAGGAGGGAAGGGAGCAGCAGTGGGAAACACACTGAGACCACTCCTTACATAAACACGAGTCCCAATCTTAACACTAAGCACAGAAAATGAAATGGTTGCAGAATGAGAACCTCTCAGATGCGCGGACAACTCTTCCTCTTTTCCTTCTGCTCTGGTTAGACCCCGGGCAGAGGCCCAGCTCAGCTTTAAGCTCATCCTTGCTGATTCAATTCAATGAGGCGACCCGCAAACACAGCCAGGGTTCCAATGATGCAGACCAGCATGAAGACGCCAAGGAGGATGTGATCCATCACCATCGCCACATATTTCCATTCCTCAGCCGCCTGAGAAAGAAGGGTGTTAGACAGAATTTCTGGAACAGGTCTCCTAATACTCACGCCAGGCATCATCTGTTGTTGTTGTTGCTGTGTACTATAGAGGTGGAACCAATTCATATCTGATCCTCCAGCAAGTTTTCCAAAGCTGTGAATCACACTGGAAGAGATTGACCATATTTCTCCCACAGAGTGGCTGGTAGATTTGAACCATGTTTCTTTGGGTTGGCAGTGAAACTCCTTATCCACTAGGTCATTAGAACTCATTTGCATCATCTATAGGCCTTTGTATCCACCACCTCCATCCACATCCTCAACAACCGCGGGTGGATAATAGAAACAGTTGCCTAGGAGTCAAGTTTGCCTCATAATGACCTTTGCAGTCCATCATGTTCCTCATATGTTATGAGTATTCCTATGAATTGACCTTTAGGCTGTTGTTTGGTGAACTCTGCCCAAATTTTTGGTTAGCAGCCAAGTGTATTAACCATTTGTGCCCCCCATGGTTTTTATGTTTTGAAAGAACTATTCTGATTTTTAAAATTTTATTTTATGTGCATGTGTGTGTGTGTGTGTGTGTGTGTGTGTGTGGTCGAATCAGATCCAACTGGTACAGGAGGAGATTGCCTCTCCTCCAGCAGAGCATCTGGTGGGTTCGAACTGCGTGCCTTCAGGATTGCAGCGCAGGAAAGAATTATTCTAAATGTAACGACCTACTAAGGTGGTCTAGAGGTCTCCCACCCACCAAGCCAAACCCATCTGCCTGCGCGTTTGCATTTGACGGTCTCGGCCCGGAGATGCGGAATTAGAGTAGGAAGCTTACGTTGTTGGACTCCTGGTCTGACTTCATGGTCTCTGCGATGTACTTGACGCCCTCGATGGCGCTCTTCACTTCAGGGTGTTTGATGAGAGGTGAGTGGAAGCCCATGGGTGGAGGCCCAGGCTTCCCAGAAATGTCAGAAATATCAATGTCTTCCGAAAATATCTTCCTTTCTTGTTTTTCCCTGGATGGCCTTTTCATTGTGGAGAAAAACATGATATTTGGAATAGTGTCGATAAAAACCTAAGATTTAAAAAGAAAGAAATCTATGTGTGAGAATTTTTGCCTGGGGCAAAACATCAAGTTCTGTTATTTCTGGTTTGGGTTTTGTCTGGGGCTTTTTGTTGTTTAGTTTTTAAAATTAGCTATATATCCCTAGGCCCCAACATCCTTGTCTTGAAACTAAGAGGCCTCTACTAGTTTTTCTCAAAGATGTCTCCACCCACCCACATCCTGGGGTAGAGCAAACTACTATCATTAACCGTGATTCTGTAATGTGAGAAGGTCGCCACAGGAGGGAGCCTGTGTGCAAATTTTGGATTCACAAGTAAAGGGTGAAGCTCAAGCTTCAAGAGTCAGGCATTTTCAAGCTCCAGGCACAAATTCCCCCCCCCCCCACCCCCCCAGAAATGTGTTGGCCAGGTTATGTAGTGAAAAGGATCCTTCTCTCCTAAAATATACAGGTTTCCAACCTCACAAAATTGCTGGATTGTTTTCTTCTATTTCTTGTTCCTGAAGAAACTCAACATAGGTATTGCTAGGAGTTGCCCAGGAGACATTAATTACAGAAGCAGGGGGCTATTACTTGCCCACAAAAAGAACACATCACAAGCAGTAGTTCTCAATTCTGGACAGATCTATTACATTCTGTGCCAAAGACCCTGGAGTTTGGTATTTCATTGAAGTTTTATATTGTGAGATATTACATATTGTTGTTGTTGTGTGTCATTGACTTGGAACTGACCTATAGCTGACCCTCCAACAGGTTTTCAGAGGTAGTTAATGGCACAGGAGGAGACTGCCCATCCTTCTCCCATGGAGCAGCTGATGGCAATAACATAAACATTCCGGACTATGCTCTTTATCAAACTCACTTTTTGACACTGACACTCTCTTATCGAGATTCCATCTAGTTCCATTTCTAATTGAACTATTTTTCTGGTTTTCAGTAGATAATTCTACTAGATAAAAAAGAAGCAGATTGTTCATAAGAGATGTATACATAGAAGTCTCAAGAGCGCGTTGGTGTGCCATCGAGTTGGAACTGACTCATAGCTGACCTCCAGCAGGTTTTCAGAGACTGTTTAATCTCAGTGGAAGAGATTGTCCTCCCTCTGAGCAGCTGGTGGATTCAAACCACATGCCTTAGAGATTGCAGCACAGTTTCTTACCACTAGGCTGCCAGAACTCCCTCATTAAGAGATAAATACATAGAAATCTCAGGAACAGCACATTTTAATTTTAAAAAGGTGCTGAATCAAAGAAACTCTATGAGCAACAGACATAAAAAGTCTAAATTTCTGTCTTCCCACTGAGAAAAGGTAAACACTAAGAGTCTAGAGACTCTTGGACCACTGACCTTAGACCTCAGCTATGTGAAACCTCTGCCAAGTTTGATCATTTAAGCCTCCTCCTGAAACCTATCATTCAAGGTGAAAAAGAACTCTGAAGACTTGGTCTCTAACCACCGAACTAACATTGTAACCATTAATTCTGATTCTCTGGTTTTAATTGAACACTGTGAGGTCATGACTACCCTGGAACAAAGTACACAAGTGCATGCTATCAAGCCTGTCTAACTGTCCATTTCAAGGCAGAGCCCCACACCCCCTAAAGGGAACTCTGCCCTGCGTGCAGCGCACAGGGCCCCCTCACCTTCCGCACCCACTCAGGCATGACGTGAGTGCTGGGCGAGCGGTGGTGCGTGTTGATGACGATGACGGTGATGATGATGGACGCAATGACGAACACCATGGTGAACAGCATGTATTTCCCGATCAGGGGCACCGCGCTGGAGGTGGACGGGATCAGCTCCACGATGACCAGAAGGAACACGGTCAAGGACAGCAGGACGGAGATGCTCAGAGTCATCTTCTCTCCTGGGAAGAGAAGACGACCACGCATCACCCGGAGCCACAGGGGACAGGAATGTGACCGGCATGTTCTCACAACAGTATTCTAGAGTCTCTTTTCTACACAGTATCCTTAGTGACCTTGAAACTTCAGCTCTGCTGGGGCAAATGGCAAGTGTTTCCACGAGAGGCGGCCAAGCAGGAAGGAGCTGCTTCATCTCAAGCCTCAGAATTCCATGTCTTGGCAGAATCCAAGGATCAAAGGGATTCCTGGGGATGACACCTGGGTCAACAAAGTCTCCTTCTGCAGAAGAATGAAGGGAGTTTCACAAAACTAAACTGTAGCCTGGGCTTCCTGTTGCTTAGACATAGACGGGAAGCTCTCCAACCATTGCTGATGCAGATGGACCATATGTTTTCATGTATTATATAAGCGCTCTGGTAGTCTAGTGGTAAGAATCAGTGCTGCAATCCTAAAGGCACGTGGATCAAATCCCCTAGCTGCTCTGCAGGAGGAGGATGGGCAATCTCCTCCCCTGTGATCACTGACTCTGAAAACCCACTAGAGTGTCAACTTGATGACACACAACAATAAATCATATAAGTACTAACATAAATGATAAAATGTAACATAAATGATAATGCAACAAAGCTTAAAAATCATAAAAAAGACCAGGCTTACTGGTCTGAGAGAGAATGGTCACTCTTCAGGTCTAGAATTGAATTTATCCCAAAGGATCATCCTTCAATCAAACAGTATATAGGACAATGCACATAATAGCTCATAACATTAATATTCCTATGAAGTAGGAATTCCTTAGAACAATAAGCCACATAGGACCAAAAAGGCACCATTTGCCCAGTGATAAGGCTCAGAAAGAAGAAAAGGAGAAGAAAGGATCAGTGGAAATGGGAAAAATAAGGAGGAAATGGGAAGAATCCTAATACATTGTGGGACTGTAATCAATGTCACAAAACAATATGTGTGTGGACTGTTGAATGGAAAACGTATTTGATCTGTAAACTTTCATCAAAATCTCATATTAAAGGAACACAGATTCCGTCCACATCCATCTCTTTTCTTCAAGCTCTATAATTTCTAGGTGAAGAATATTCAAAGTATTATTAGTTGAGCAAGTATGGCACCAGGGCAGGGGTACTTTTTGTGGGGTGTTGCCCGTTTTAGATACAGTAGAAGACTTGTGGGAGAGGATTTCCTTGGGCTTGTCATGCTGGTTTTGTCCTTGGAAAACCCTCCGATGGAGCTTTGTAACCAGTAAGTAATTAGGAACCCCTCCCATTTCCCATCTTGTTAACAACTTTTATTCTTTAAAAAAAAAAAAAAAAGCCCTTCCTGCTCCACAGATGTCTGTGTTTGGTAATTTTTGAGCTCATGTACCACTCACCCTGGGAAATACCAGGAAAGTCTTCCACTGATGACCCATTTGGGGGACAGTTTGAAGCCATTGATCACCAAGCTCTGAGTGGCACTGTCACTTGTACAATGTCCTGTGTTCCATCCTGCCCCAGTGGGGCTTCAAAGGGATTTAGCAAACAGCCCAGGAAAGATGGAGCTAGCCCTCCATCCTCCATGCAGTGAGGCATGGGGACAACGTGGCCGTCTTGAGAACACAGGCATCGAGCTTGGCCTCTTTACAGTCCTCCTCGAATGTTCCTCCTCCTCCACTACTGCCAAAGCCCTGCTTTTTCTAATCCAACTGCATTCGCTTATTCAGCCTTGGGGCTGCCATGAAAGATGAGCACAGCACATTCCTGCCCTTCAAGCATCTGATGCTCTGTGACGCCAAAGCTAACACACAAACCAAGGCAGGAAATGAAGTACGCTGTTTGAACAGAAGTAGATTCGAGATATGGAGAAATCAATGCTACTGGCTTGCCTGGGAAAGACTTCAAACATAAAATATCTTTTAAGTGATATTTTCTGACTAACCATAATCATGCTGTAGTTGGTGATTTTTTTTTTTTTTACTCAGTGACCTCATGTGATAGAATAGCATCATTCCATATCAAGTTTTCTTCTCCTTTAATCTTTTTTTTTTCTTTCTGCCTTGCTAGAGTTTCATTAGGCAGGCTTGAACCACCAACTTTTGAGTTGGTAGTCAAACACTTAACTATTGTGCTACGAGGATCCTTAACAATAACAGTGTTGTTGTGGTTGCTGCTGCTATGTGTCTTCTGTCAGCAGTGACTTACAGCGACAACAGATCTGAACCCTGCACCATGCCCAGCATCCACACCTCTGATTACTGTCCAAAATAATTTCTAAGCTAAAATTCTTTCAACTTTATGCTGTTTTCATATTTTCTTTTTAAATAACATTTTTAATTTGGAAGTTTACAAATCATATTGGTTTTCCATTTAGATGTGTTCTTTTATAACATCAACAAGAATTGATCTGTGTAGTTAATTAATGATAACCTTTGATTACCTCCTTATTGTGTATTGCCATTCTCCTCACCAACTTATTTATTAACTTTTATTACCATCTTACTCGCTTCTCAGTCTATTAGCCTCCAAGATTGATTCTGTGTGTGTGTAAACTTTTAACTTTTGAAAATAGTGAATTTTACCACAGTTGTCCTGTTGGGCCTCACTTATGTCACCAGCATGCTTTGCTCTAGGTTTATCCATGCTATGCAATCTTTCACCAACTCTCGATAATTCTTTAGCACGGCACAATCCTCCATATGTGAGTGTAGCATAGTTTCTCTACCTATATGACTGTTGATGGACACTTTGGTTGTTTGCATCTCTTTGTTCCAGCAAAGGATGATTTGTAGCCATTCTGACAAGTTTGTGTAGTTTTGTGTATTTATCTTTCTATAAATAAGTTATCCAGGTTGATATCAGAGCAAGAATTGCTACTTGGTCTCATGTATAAAGCTGCTGCCACATGGAAAACAGAAAATGGACAAGAGCTCTTCAGGCAGTAAGAGGCAGGGCCTGGATTAATCAGTGTATAGGAAAGGACTTCAGAAGAAGGCTTCCCTAACTGAGCATCTATGACCTCACGACTGCTCCAGCACTTTTCTCTAAGAGCAAAGTGGGCATTCAGCAAACAGGTATAAATGATTAACGCTTGTTTATCTTAACCAACTGCTGTCAAATTGACTCCAACTCATCATCTCCTTGTGTGTCAAGATAGACCTGCCCTCCACAGGGTTTTCAGAGGCTGATACTTGAAGTCGAACACGCCTTTCTTCCAAGAGGCCTCAGAAGCGGCATCTGAGCGGACCTTTTGGTAAGCTAGCAATCAAGCACACGAACCCCTGGTGTCGTTCCGAGTCTCCCCCTGTGCTAACGCACTCATTGCTCTTGAGTGGAAACGGACTCATAGCTGCCCTTCCTCCGGGCTTCTGAGACTATAAATCACATGACGGGAAACTGCCTGCCTTTCTCCAGAAAAGCTGTCGGTGGCTCTGAACCACCAGAGAGGTGCATCCTTCGGGTTGGCAGGGCAGCTCCTTACAGACTGCACCGCTAGAGCGAGTGAATGTTAACTAGACTGTGCCACCCGTGAGCCTCTGTCAGGTCACGTTCACCTCTGCCTGCTGTGTGTCCCTGCCCGGCTGAGACTTCCAGCCCCAGTGACCCCACTGCTGCTCACGGCCACGCGGCAAATGGCACCTCCCTTCGCAGGGATGAGGACTTGGCTCTGCTGCACGTATTTTTCTGTTAGCCTGCCTTTCTTTCTGGGATTTTCCCAACATAGCGGCACACGATCCATCAGTGTCAGCAGCGGTCGTCATAGCAACTGCACCCACCTGAGTCCGTGGGCAGGTAGAAAACCAGGCCGGTGAGGAAGGAGAAGAGCAGGCAGGGGATGATGACATTGACAATGAAGTAGAGAGGCAGCCGCTGCATGACGAAGTGGTAGGTGATGTCCAGGTAGGGCGTGGTGGGGCAGCAGGCGTAGAACACCCAGTGCTTCCAGCCCCGGGCCTCCTTGATCACCCACTCCCCACTTTCCATGAAGTTGCTCAGATCAGGCTGGTCACTTTCCTGCGAGGGTGGAAGGAGGTTGTGAAAGCCCAGCCAAGTCACCCTGAGAAGATGCCAGGTTTCCTAGCCAGCTGGGGTGAAGCAATAGCCTCCAGTCACTGGCCTGGAAGGTGGCTTACAATCCTTTCATAATAAAATAGAGGAATTTGGACTATCAGGGTTCTGTATTTTGGGTACACAGGCAAGTCATGTGGAAGATTTTGAAACTGAATAATTGATGCCCTGTTGCATAAGTGAACCAAGATGGCCTCAGGGTATTTCTTGAAGGCCCCAAAACCCTCCCTTGCCAAACTTGACATTTTTACACATCTAATGATGGGAAGCCTCCTCCTGTGAGATTTACTGCCTCTGAAAACCCACCAGAGGGTCAGCTATGAGTCAGTTCTGACTCAACAGTACTCAACAACAAGTTGTCATGAAAGTACCCCAAATAAACAAAGTTGTAGTCACTCAGAGCCACCTGCTTTCACAGACCCCTCAAAATGGCACCCAACTATCTGCTGATGCCTAGAAGTCATTACCACTGAGTCAATTCCCCCTTGTGGTGACCCCACGTGCACCAAGGCAGACCTGTGTTCCACAGAGTTCTCAATGGCTGATTTTTCCAAATTGAATTGCCAGGCCTTCCTTCCAAGGCACTTCTAAGTGGACTTCAGCTTTTTGGTTGACAGTCAAAGAGTGACACTTTTGTACACTCTGGGGACTCCTGTAGTGGCCCCAGGCAGACAAGTCCTGCCATCATGAAGACCCCAAGCGGCTACTGCCCTTTAGAGAGCTCTGAAGAGCTCTCAGATGCTCCGCCTTTGCTAAAGGACGTTGTCTAAATGCACACCCCTTCTCCTCTGCCTCCCACCTCTCCTTTGGCATCAACCTTGCCCCTGACTCCAGCAGACCCTGCACTTCTTGCCTCCTGGAGCTATTGCTGCTTCAAGGACTTCAGCAAGCAGATCTTTCCAAACCTGGGTCCCAGGAAACAGTGCCATCTTGTGATCATGTTTGTGTTTGATCTGTCCCTCAAATCCCATGCACTCACTTTAGGCCCTAGCTCACCCCCACACTGATTCAATCAAGCACACTTGGGTCTCTGCTTGGACATTGGACATTCATTTAAGTTCCCAAGGTCTGTGTACTGACAACTTCCCAACCAAAGGAAAACCAATGAACTAAAAAGTCCTCAAAGCTTTAACCAGGACATCTAACTGGTTCATTCCAGCTCCATCCCAGATATACTGAGTCAGAATCTATAGTTCAAAATGATCGTCAGGGTGACTCCTACATGCATGTATGAATCACCTGGGAATTTTGCAAAGCTCTCAATTCTGAGTCCAGATCAAAACTCGAACACATTGCTGTTGGATCAGAACTGACTCTTGGCTGACCCTCCACTGGGTTTCTGCTGTTGTAGAATCCACGAGAGGAGACTATATATCTGTCCCCCACAGGACACTGCTGGCTCTGAACCACCATAAGAAGCATCTTTGGGGCTGGCACTGAAACTCCATGTGGACTATTTCTGGAAATGCAAATTCTCAGTAGGGGGTCAAACTGAATGAAACCGTTTGAAAACCTGGTTCTAACTGGTACTAAGGGTCCATGGTTCCACAGAGACAGAAGTTAAAGATCAGAATAATAGCTTTCTTGAACTGTCCTTATCACACTTGACCACCACGTACCGCATTGATGGCCACTACCGAGCCATCATAGGTCCAGGTCCCCAGCTTCATGCTGCAGTTCTGCTCGTCAAAGGGAAAGTGGGTGACGATGATCTCACAGTAGCTCTTAAAGATGGCTGGAGGCGTCCACGTGATGTGGCCCGTGTAGTCCAGGAGCACCTTGGTAAACTTGACAATGGCAAAGTCACCATCTGCACTACAATTGGGATGAAAGAGAAACATGGCTTCAAGTGACAGATGAGCCTTCAGTTCTGCTCAGGGAAGTTAACAGGAGACAGCTGTTAATTATTCAGGTGCTAATTATAGATGCTTCTGGGCAGTGAGGATTTCTATCACAATGCTTCTGAAATTTGTGTGACAATAAGAATCACTGGGATACTTGCTGAGGAGGAAAATAAAATTATCCTGGGCACCACTTTCACCCTGATTCAGACTTTCTGGAGGGAGAATCTGAGAATCTACATTATAAAACAAAAATAAAAACCCAAGAGTCAATGATCCACTGGTCCACTGCATCCATATTTTTCTCTCTCCAATTTTCAGTAGCATTTATTTGTATCGTTGATCTTCATTCTTCCTTTCCCCAATATACTTTAGAACTGACTGGGGGGGAGGGGGAGAGAATAAGAATGCCTGGTAAAATCTGTTAGGCTAAAAATCAAAATGGAGGTTGAAGCTCAACTCAAAAATCCTATGTCAGGACATTTTCTGAAACCAGGACTCAGAAAACCCTATGTCAGGACATTTTTCTGAAATCAGAACTCAGAAATCCTATGTCAGGACATTCCCAAGTACCAGTTTCCCAAGACCAGAAACTTCATGCACCAATAAGCCACTGCAATGACCCCATATAAACCCCGAACCCAACCCCCAGTACTACTCCCCTAGCTGAGTAGCCCCACACACAATAGACTCTGAGAACTGTTACTACTGTGGTTCTTGGCTTTGATCTGAAACCTTTCAAAATCAGTGGCTCCTTGCTGTGATTGTCAGATTAAAGGATTGGTCTCTTATCTCCAGGAGAATTATTTACAACTACATGGTGAGGTCACAGACTGAGGTGGCTCCAAGGCCAAATGGGTGAGGCCTGAAGAGAGGGTCACCACTCAGCTCTGCCCACTGTGTCTATCAGGAGCAGAGGCCTCACATGGCCATATATTTGGATTCTTCATAAAAAACTGTAAATCCAGAGTTTTGGGATTGGTTGTGGGTTTTTTTTTTTTAATGTAACATTTCCAGATTTTTAGAAGCTGGAATTTTTTTTAGACACAAAATTTAGGTGATTAAAAAAATTATTTTATTATTCTTTTGTGTGTAGTGTCAAATCAGATCTGACTGGTACAGGAGGAGACTATCCCTCCTTCTCCAGCAGAGTATCTGGTGGATTGGAACTGCGCACCTCTGGGATTGCAGTGCAGATTCTTGCCACTAGGCCACCAGAGCTCACCGATAATTTTTTAAAAAATATTTTCATATTTTAACAATCATTCTTCTTTTTTTCCCCAGAGGTAGCTGCATTATGCCTGCAGGTCCCCTTTGGGAATATTTTCATTCCCTGTAAACAGCCTGTGTTTGGGGACTTGGCAGAGTGCAGAGTATTAAAACAGCTGTCCAGTGAGGAGGCTGAGTTCTGTCTCTGTGGGATTTGGGGGACCTTCACCTTAAAAGAAAAGAGATTGTTCCCCGCCCCTCCAAAAGACTTTCCCTTTCGGCCTGAGTGGAGCCCTTTTAACTAGAAAACTATATGGCATTCTTGATTCCAACTGAGCCTGAATTGACTCATATCTGACCCTCCAGTGGGTTTTTCAGAGGTTGTAAATCACATGGGAAGAGATTGTCCATCTTTCACCCTCTGAGCTGTTGGTGGATTTGAACTGCCTACCTTTGGGTAGTTCTACTGTTGGAATTCTCTGACCCTCCAGTAGATTTTCAGGAGCTGTAAATCACATGGAAGGAGACTGCCCATCTCTCTCCACTGGAGCAGTTAGTGGATCCAAACCACCCACCTTTGGATTGGCAGGGCAATCCTCTACCCACTAGGCCACCAGAATTCCGAAAGGAGCCCATAGAGGGCCTTACTGAGTTGCCACAGAGCTGATTCTGAGTCATGTAGTGTCCTTGTGTAACAAGAGAACTTTTATCCATAGTTTTATCCAGGGTTTTCCACAGTTGAGTTTTTAAAGGCAGATAGCCAGGCCTTTCTTCCCAGCTTCGTCTGGGTGGCTTGGACTGCCAACCCTTCAGTTAGCTGCTGAAAGTATTAGCTGTTTGCCATCTCCCTGGGGCTCCGTGGTAGACCTTAGATTGCCTGTTCATGTGTGGAGTTGAAATGGGATTCTCTCATCAGGGTGCTATGTGTCCAAAGACTCAGAGGACTTTAATTGCTCCCCTCAAATTCTGATCTGGCGGGGGAAGTAACACAAGGCACTCAGGCCCTTCAGCATATTTCTCTGAAAAGGTTACACAAATGATCGGGTAATTTGGCTCAGGATTTGAATTCTGGGGATAAGTGGAAGACAGGTGGTGGAAAATCAAAGCTGGGGTGTCATTTTCTGCCGCCTCCCGCCTTCCCGGATGTGCACGGCTGTTCCCCGCCCAGACACATGTCGTCTAATGTCAGGCCATAAATCCTCCAGGCCCGCATCCAGTGCGCCCGCCCAGGAAGGCTGCTCTTGGAAAGGAGCATTCCCTGACAAATGAAGGGCATATGATAATGAATGTGTCATTAGAGCGGGGCATCTTGAATCGCATTCTAATTCCCCAGCACGCAGTTGGCCATGGAGCAGGGCAGTGGGAGCGCCTGAGGCCAGGCCTGAGCGCGCAGGAACCACCCAGGAGGCGCCCCGACTGGGGAGGAAGGACGCTTCATGCCAACGAGCTCCATTAATCCAGCTTGGTTTCCTTGGAGGGTTGCCACACACCCTTCAGGAGCTCTCAGGGATTAAATGTCCCCCACCCCACCACCCTGCTGAAATTTGGCTCCGATGATTGTGTCTGTTCTAACACACGACACCATATGGCACCAGGAGCGAGCATGTCTGCACACTCGGCTCCGGGTGTCTGCAGTTATTTCATGTTGAGGGTGGTGAGGGGCATCTGAGCTGCAGCCCTTCACCGGCATTGGGCTCAGGGGTCCCCGTGGACCCTCGCTGCCCTCGGCCTCGGGCCTTGGGTTCTTACTTATTGTAGAGAACAAGGTCTGGGCGCCAGATCTTCTCCGAGGGAATGTGGATTTTTTTCACACCACCATAATCGTCTGGATTCCATTTTAGGTTGTAATCCACCCATTGCTAGAAGAGAAGTTACTTTGTCAATTACAAAGCAAAACTCATATTAACAACAACAACAACCAACAAACAAACAAACAGGTGTTATCAAGAGCTCTGAAGGGCATATAATTCAGACATTGAGAGGCTTGTGCTCATCTAAGATCATTTGACTCAGAATTCAGCTTTCACTCTAGCAGACAAACATAGCTAGTACTTAGTTTAGCATGAACTCTGCACAGGGACTGTTCTAAGCACTGCATTACTTAATGAACCCTCACAACAACCCTATTAGAGATGAACAGTCATACACCTCATTTTACAGGCTAGGAAACAGCAAGGAGCCTCCAGTTGGGAAGTGGCACACTCACTGTACTGCCTCCCAACCTAGGACAGGAAAAAATCACTGCGTGGACGTGGACATAGCGATACTTGTTGTGAAGCCTTGAGGAGGAACCAACTCATAGCTGACTCTCCAGTGGGTTTTCAGAGGCAGTTTAACTGAAAAAGGGGAACCCGTCACTCTTTCTTCCAAACAGAACCTGGTGGATTTGAACCACAGGGCTTTGGAATGGCAGCGCAGCTCCTTACCACTAGGCCACCAGAGCTTCCAAACCGAATTCCTATCCTGATCCTTATCCCTATCCTTACTATCTATATCTCTGTGAGATGGATTGATTCAGTGACTGGGGTAATGAGGGTAGGAGTGTCAGAGACAATAATACTGGCACAGGATAAAGCAGGGTCTACGGCTGTTGTACATAGAGTCACTATGAGTCTTGCTGTTGTACATAGAGTCACTATGAGTCTTAAGCAACTGGAGGGCACATAACAACAATATTATCTATGTATTTGGAGCTCTGGTAGCCTGATGGTAAGGAGTTGTACTGTCAACCCAAAGGCACATGGTTCGAATTTACCAGCTCCTCTGTAGGAGAAAATGGACCATTCTCCTATGAGATTACTGCCTCTGAAAACTAGCTGGAAGATCAGCTATGAGTTGGTTCTGTCTGAATGGAATGCAACAACAATATGTTGTTGTTGTTGTTATGTGCCGTCGAGTCGCTTGTGACTCATAGCGACCCTATGTACAACAGCCCTAAACTCCTCCCTGTCCTGTGCCAATAGCACTGTCTCTGACACTCCCATCCCAATTATCCCAGTCACTGAATCAATCCACCTCATAGAGGGTCTTCCTCTCC